GAGATGCAAAATGCAAAATTATGGAAGCAATATATATAGTGGTTTAATCCTAAATTTATTAAAATATGAGGGTAAAATAAGTATAATAAGTCAATTTCATTCAAAGGAAACGAGAAGCACCCACAAAAGTTGCAATTTCTTGCTTTCGGAATTTTCAAAGGATGGAAGCTGGCTGGAGATTCTCACCAGTTGAAGGCAATATGAGAAGTAGGGGTGTCTGGTGCAGCTGGACCTTTTGGACTTCAAAAGGTCTTTCGACCAGCTGCACCAAACACCCACTAATTCACCTTGACAAGCATGAGGCCATAACCAGATAAAGAAATCTGAAATTCTAGTCAAGACGCAATGAAGCATGAAATAGAACAGATGACAAGCCACAATCTCTTCTATCAATTTGACAGCCAGGGTTCTGCAGCTTTTATTTTGGTTCACAAGGCATTAATAAATTGTTAAATTCTAAGTACTTTAATCAAGTTCTTAATCAAATGATGAATAACTGAATAATGAAAAAGGTTCCTTTTGAAACAAATCCAGGAAAGTTTGTAATCATTCTTTATAGTTTAATAGAGATCTAGCAAATGGAATTATGATATGATGAAGGCAGATAAAATTACCTTCTAATTTTGCACAGGTTCCCCAAATGTAATTGCTGACAAGAATCAAACCAACAAATACAAGAAGAGGAACTGAAATTATTGTGATTCTCGGTAATTTAACCTCAAGGATGGATTGTAATGTCAGATCCTGCCCACCATCATGAAACTGTTTAAAATCAATCAGATCACCAAACCAAATGGCACAACCACTACCTTTTCCTCTGATATCTCAGTATGTGTAGGCCATACAAGAGCAGTTCTGCAAGCATTTACTTCTGCATTCCTTGAGATCCATGATTTTATTCACCAAAGAGTAAGTTGTATCTGGCAATTTATTATGAATAAATTTAATAAATTAATCTCCATTCTCACAATCAAATAAGGGTTATTCCGTGTACACCTTTTGTGGTGATATAGGGTTGAATCCTTTCAAACATTGACAAAGTGGCAACTTGGTATTGTCACAAGTCCCATACACACCACAATGTCCATAGTTGTTGCAGATGCCCCTTGGCAGATAGAAATATAGGATCCGGTTTCTAGTTTCTTCATTCCATATCAAGCACAGACCCAAATATTAGTTTGGTTTATAACAAACCTTTTGATCACTGATCTTTGATGTTATAACTGAAGTATATATCCTCCTCATTTGAAACAAATTTCAACTCAAAAACTGTAAAAGAACTTGATTTGGCCTCACCATTATATCTGAGACCATTCCAAGGTCCTGATGGGAAATACTTTTTGGAACCCTTCAGCATAATAAGTTCTGGGTAATTATTTAGTGCTAGCCCCAAAGTAAAGTCTCCAGAAGATGGATCATCTGGGCTCTTCCATGCTGATTCCTGTCAGTGAAGACCAGTTCTCATGTTTCACCCAAGCTTCATCCCTGGTAGTTACTTGTCAGTTGGATAGTCAAAGCTCTGCCACAAAAATATTTCTGAGTTGCCATCTTTTTCATCACTCAGGACAAGATTTCTAGAATCTAATAGTTGTATGACTAGATTTTGAGCTTTTTTGTTTGAGTTTGATGACCAAAGAATAGTCTTGTTTTGACTGGTAACAAAAAGATTGCCTGTGCTGTTTATCATCAGCAAACCAGATAAATCCACAATTGGATTGTGCTGATTTGCAACCCACACCACAGTTCTGATTGGGATATTCTTGTACCAAATTCCCAAATAATGGCCCTTAAAGATTCTGGGACTGAAGAAGCCCAGTTCAAGGCCTCCATCTATAGAAACTCAGGTCCTGCCATCACTAATAGATTGGGATGAGGTGATGATATTGGTTTCATCTGAAAATCTAAAGAAGAAAAATACTAAAATGGAGTACACGTACTTGTAAAATAGAATGCCTATCTATTTCCTAGGTCTCACAACCTGAAGATATACCCTCTATACTATTATTAAAAAGACAATGATCTTAGAATACATATATAATCTCGAATGCATGTCTTCTCTGCGAAGATTGCAAACTTTTCCTTGTTAGTTAGTGAATGCAAACTTTTTCAGTAATGACATGCAGGTATCCTATGATCAAAAGTTGTGCACTGTTGCAAGGAGATATGACTTATTTTACAGGCAACATACGCCAGCCACAACAGCAAAAGATGACGATGGCATGTGAATACCATCAAGGATTGAAAAATGATCCATTCTACAGTTAACACAGATCATAATCAAATCACAAAGAAACCTATTTCCTTTCTAGTTTTGACCATCAAAGGCTTCAAACAAGACACTCTTTACACAATTTATGATTCTAAGAGTGCGCATCTAAAATACTTCATCAAACAAAGAATTTTAGAGAAGAGCATCATCTGGTGTTATCAAGACTAGGAATCAACCACCTTTTTAAAAATTTTAATTTTTCTTCTTTATTTTTATCACAACCAATGAACAAAATCATTTCCAGTCATCTGACAGAAAAATTACATGGCTCCTAAAGCAGGAAGCTTTGGTTCTATCATTTATTGGCCACCATATGGAATTGAAATTACTCACACATGACAAATTAGTATAAAGGAAAATTTGAGATTAATATAAAAAACCTGGTCATTAACTTGAGTATGTGAAAATGAAATACCTCTTGATCACAACTCAGGAGTCAGATTGCAATACAATTCAGATGTTCTTCACCAAACTAACCAGATTAAAGGGAAGTTCATCATACTTCTGAGTTCCAATGAAGATTGCTTCTCTATGGATGTTTAAATCAAGGTTAATAAGGAAAACCCAGAACAAAACAGTAATCTCATTTGTTGAAGACGATAATTCAGTTAAAATTAATCCTTTCTGTATATTCCATCAATTTCATTACATTCCCAGAAAAATTGTAAGACAAATGGAGAAAAATGCATGGTCAAAATCATTAGTAATCATCCTTGAGTTCCTGTTCAAAAGCTTCTTGGAACACAAACCGGGAAGCCTCCATCAACTCAGGACTCAACCGGAACATCAAAACGCAAAACTCCATCTGAATAAGCACGCCGTCCCCGTCTAAATCCCCTTCTTTCAACATGGACCGGAGGTCATCATCGGTCAAATCCTGCAAACCGAGAAGAGCAGAGTTCCTCTTTAGACTTTCAAAAGTGATGACCTCTTCTTGCCGTCAACCAGCAAGTTGAACCCATTGCACAGCTCCCCGATCAGGCCGTCACCGCCGAGTTTGTCCGCCACGAGGGGCAAGAAATGGTTCTGTGAAGAGTAAGGGGGCAACTTAGTGCAGGTTAAACCAACCCAACCCAATCCAATCCGTTGGGTTAGATTGGATTCTTAAAAGTTTGGTGTCACATTGATTGGATTTCCATTAATTCACAATAAAATGGTTTGGGTTAGATGAAAATTATAGTAAATTGCAAAAATTATGATAAAAATTTTAAACGTAATATAATTAAAAAATTTTAAAAGCTGAAGCAGCACCATCGCGGTATTGCGACTCAGTTTCTCCGCTCATCCTTTCTCTGCTTTTCTTAAATTTAATATTTAAATATTAAATTTATAATCATTTGACACCCTTTAGCAATGGAGGAGAAATTTAATTTGGCTACTAAACTTTATAACTGTCTTTATCACATGTTTTTATGGACTATTCATGACCAACAAACAAGAGGAAACCTTCCATTTTCTGAGAAAGATTCTCTTGAACCATCAGGAACCTACTTCATCTCCCTCAGTTATCATCATCCTTCATGATTTCATATAAGAGCCCCACCCCCATACCCCAGAGTGGTAATTTGGCTTTTGCTTAAAGGTTCCTGTACCCTCTGTCACCCCATAATGTTCAATCTCATTGCCTTGCCCCAAAAGCTATAAATTTGACTAACTGTCTACCTTGCTTACCCCTAATTGATATTGCCTGCATCATTGAAAATAAAGACAGATAACAAACAAAAGTGCTCCTGTTTTGTTTACATGATGTATCATGTACGTCTCTTTTGTTATACCTAGCTACTCTCTTGGACTAATTGTGTGGAAATGAATTCAGAGTATGTTTATACATGGGGTTTTTGAAAAAGGGGGAAAGTGGGAGGTTTGTGAACGTGGAATAAAGGGAATGAAAGCTGTTTCTCACCCACTTTTTAACCTTTTTGGTTGTATCCAGTTTCCCTTCTTAGTGGGCATTGAATGCTAATTTCAACCTGGAAAATGTTGTCACTATTACAAAACAATCCTCAACTGTTTAACTTCAGAAGAATTGATACTATATTCAGCTGATTTGTTGTACCAAAAACCGATCCTTTCTTGATGTTTCTGGCAAATCTCTGCTCAATCTTCTGTATGCCAATAGTTTGTGCTTAGCATTAAGTATCCGCATCCCCACCCAAAAGTTCCATTCCTGGCCTGCTCTAGGTGATCCAAGTCACCATGTTCATAGTAAACATGGAACAAGGCTAATGGAATTAAAATTTCATAATCTGTTATTAGAATTTCTGAGTTGTGCACAAAATTAGTCGACATGTGAATTTTAAGGGTATATATGTTTCTGCATTGGGATTCAAATGTCTTAAGGTTCATTAGGGTTGAAATTACAGAAACATAAGGTACAAAATGTATAGATACAACTATATAATCCTCTATTGAAGGATAGAGGATTATCATCGAGCCTGCAAGAGTGAGATGGTAAGATTGTTTACTGACGTCGAGTTATGCTTGCTCAATGAAGCATCTGTTTCAAGTGATGTATTTTCGAGCAAGAAACCAGGTTCTTTCGGCTGAGGCAATTCTATCTCACTTCCCAACATAAGCAACACAGATGACATGGTTGGCCTGTCCTCAGGAATCTGTTGTACACATAAAAGACTGATTGAGAGTAAGACTCTCCTAAGAATTGATCAACAAGTTCTAAAGGGTTACCTCCTTTCCATAAGCTCCATGCCTAAAGCATATTAAAGCCTTTGCATCATTTTTCAGTTCAAAAGAATATAAAGGAAGCCAAAGAATGATTAACTACGCTTACATGTCCAATGAGGTTAATGCTATGATCTGAATGGTACATTCCTCTATTTTTAGTCCCACTTACTATCTCCATCAACAATACACCAAAGCTAAAGACATCTGATTTTACTGAGAAAAACCCATCAACAGCATATTCTGGTGCCATATGACCATTGCAGAAAATTGTTCAAAAAAGAATACAATGATGTGGATTTAGAGATAAAGCCATGAAGAATTGAAGGGTATTTGGTAAAGCAATACTTACTAAGTTCCAACAAGTCAGTTAGTGTTTCCTTCAGTCTGGTTTCCACCACAAGTTTTGGCCATGCCAAAATCTGAAATTTTAGGATTCATCTCACTGTCAAGAAGAACGTTACTAGCTTTGAGATCTCCATGTATGATCCACAGCCTAAAGTCTTGGTGAAGGTAGAGAAGCCCCCTAGCAATCCCACAGATAATCTGGAAACGCTTGGGCCAATTTAGTTCTTTACGCCTTCTTTGATCTGGAAAACATTAATGTGTCCATAATAACTTAGTATCCTACTTGTCTAAAATGTATGACACAGCAATAAACACAACTACATTGGTTTAAGTTAGAAATAAATTAAATTTCTTAAAGGACTTCAAACCAAAAATGAATGAGTCAAGGCTTCTGTTAGGCATGTATTCATAAACCAGCAATTTCTCCTCTCCTTCAATACAACATCCAAGAAGCCTAACACGATTCCGATGCTGAAGTTTGGCAATCAGCTTAACTTCATTCTTGAACTCATTAAAACCTTGTCCAGAACTTCGGGAAAGCCTTTTCATAGCAATTTCTTGCCCATCCATTAATTTTCCCTAGTAAAAATGATGAGATAAGTGAATAAAAACAAATACAATGTACTTAAGGCCAGTTTTAGCAGTCCGCTGCAATATACCTTGTAAACAGGTCCAAAACCCCCCTGTCCTAGCTTGTTGGTGAGTGAAAAGTGATTGGTGGCATAAGATATCATAGCTAGTTCAAATACTGGAAGCTCCATTTCTTCTTTCTGAAATTTATTATAATATTCTCCCTTCTCTTCTTTTCTCTCAGAAATAGTACTGGCTTTACATTAATCATCATATCTGGAGAACTGAAACGGTTTTGCTTTGATCAAAAGTACTAGAGATTTAAAATCATTCTGTTTATCAAGCAATCTTTATTTTTTTTTATCTAGGTAATATAAAAAGCAGATTCAAAACAAAGCCAATAATTAACAAATGGAAGAAAGATCAGAACAAAATATGGTATAATAAAAAAATTGAAGGAAATTGAAAGCATATAAATCAATCAACAAGGAAGAAGATGAACATATATTGCTAGGCATAAGTTTGAAATGTTACCCTCCAAGGTTCTCTTTCTTTTGAGGAAGAAATAGCAGACTATAAACACCCCCAAGAGTACAGCCAGTGGAATTGCAAACATCAGTGCCATCTTCATTTTAGACTTTTTTTCTGATTCTTCATAATCAATTTTGATGGAGAAAAGCATATAAGTAAATCAGCTTTGTTGGAGACACTTTCAAGTTTTCATGAAATGAAACTCAAAGCAAGGATAACTCATACCTGATTCTGAAGCAGACATTCTGATGTGTAGATCCTGCCCACCGATTTGAAACTGTCTAATATCAAGTAGATCACCAAACCAAATAGCACAACCACTACCATCTCTGTTTATATCAAAACTAGTATAGGCCGTTCAAGAACAGTTCTGTAAGCATTTAGTCTGGCATTCCTTGAGATTCATACTTCTGCTTATCCAAGAATGTGCAGCATCTGGCAACTTTAACTTTTGGTATTGGATAAATCCATCTTCTTGCTGATAGTTCAATGGCTTCTTTCTAACACATCCTTGAGACCAGTCCATTGAGCTCCATTTACTTGTGGATTTAGGCTCAAATCCTTCCAAACATTGGCAAGGTGGAAGTTGTGTTTTGTCACAATAACTGTATGCACCACAACATCCATAAGTGTCACAGAAGTCTCTTGGCATGTATGAATACAGATTCCAAGTTTGAGTATCTTCACTCCATATGTATCACTTGGTTGTGTAGTCAGTTTGGTTCAGGAAAACCCTTGAGATCAGAGACTTGTTCTTGAGAGAATAACTCTTGTACACCTCCTTTTCATTGAATACAAATATAGTCACAGCATCTCATATTCTACTTTGGTACAAGAGTTAGATTTTGAAGGATATGAAACTAAGAAAGGAGAGATTGAGCGCAAAAGCCACACTAAATTTTCATTATGCAAAATACTTAAATACACACAGATAAGGGTAGTAACAAAACTACCTCAACAGTAATCCAATACAAACAAACTTCTTAACAAACTACTATAAACTTGAAAACACAGAAAACAGTAATTAATTTGAAAATAAACTAATTCAAACTGCAGCTTTGGTGGCATGCTTATTTGGAACAGTTCCAACAGATTTCTACATTTTAGGAAACTTAGGCATTAAGAAGGTTTCATTTGTTTTTTCTTAATAAAATGAAAAAGGTTACGAACCACATGTGAAAAGACAGCTTCTGGATGGACACTAACTGCTCCTGTTGATGTCTGAGTAAGAACTTTAAGGGTATGTTTCTGCATTGGAGTTTAGGGCCTAAGGTTTATTTAGTCTTGATGTTGAAAAAACATAAGGTACTAATTGCAACCATGAACAATGTTCTGGGCATGACGTACATCACTATATATAATCCTTTATCGAGCCTCCAAGTACGTGTGGGTGATTTCGTTTATTGTGGTCGAGTCATGCTTACTTGTTGAAGATTCCATTTCAAGTGGAGTCCTTTCAAGCAAGAAACCAGGCTGTTTTGGCTGAGGCAATTTGATCTCACTTCCCAACATCATCACCACCGATGACATGGGAGGCCTGTCCTCAGGATCCTGTTGTAGACATAAAAGACTGATGTGGATGCATCTAATAACTTCTGACAGAGTGAAACACTCTCCCAAGGATTCAGCTGCAAGTTCTAAAGGATTGCCTTCTTTCCATAATTTCCATGCCTGAAGGATATTAAAGCCAGTTTTTCATTTATGAGTTCAATATAAAAGAAAGTAAAAGAATGATTGATGATGCTTACATGTCCAATGAGGTTAAGGCTATGTTGTGGCTGAAAAAATCCTCTATTTTGGATGCCACTTATTATCTCTAGCAATAATACGCCAAAGCTAAAGACATCTGACTTTATTGAGAATAGCCCGCCTATGACATACTCTGGTGCCATATAACCACTGCAAAACAATGTTCAAAAGAGAATAGATTAATTGGCATTTATAGATAAAAGTAAAACTATGTAAGTACTAAAATAATACTTACTATGTGCCAATAACTGTGCTTGTGCTCCCTTCAGTCTGCTCTCCTCCAAAAGATTTGGCCGTCCCAAAATCTGAAATTTTTGGGTTCATCTCCTCATCAAGAAGAACATTACTAGCTTTGAGATCTCTATGAATAATCCGCAATCTGGAATCCTGGTGAAGGTAGAGAAGCCCCCTCGCAATCCCACAGATGATCCTGAAACGCTTGGACCAATCTAATTCTTTCCCCCTTGTTTGATCTGGAAAACAATATTGCATTCATGACAATTTGGTAATCCTACTTCATCTAAAATGTGTGAAATAGATACAACATAACTACATTAGTCCAAGATTGATAGAAAAATTCTAGAGGATTTCTAACCAAAAATGAATGAGTCTAGGCTTCTGTTAGGCATGTATTCATAAATCAACATCTTCTCCTCCCCTTCAATGCAACACCCAAGAAGCCTAACAAGATTCCGGTGCTGAAGTTTGGCAATCAATTTAACCTCATTCTTGAACTCATTTACTCCTTGTCTAGAACTCGAGGAAAGCCTTTTCACAGCAATTTCCTGTCCATCCACTAATTTCCCCTAGAAAAATAAAAAGGACCAAGTAGTGGTAAAAACAAAGGAAAAATAGGCAAATTAGCCACATAAAATATTGGTTAAATGCCAGTTTGGTCTCTCAGCTTCAGACTTTTGCATAATTTTAGTCTCTCAACATTTTTAATATCTTTTTAGTCCCTCAATTATGTAAAATGTATTTTTTTTAGTTTTTTCACTAGTTTGTCCGTCAAGTATATGTATATGTGTACATTTTTAATCTCTAAATTTTTAAGTTGAGGAACAAAAATTGTGTCAAATCTAAAAGTTGAAAGATTAAAAATGTGCATATATTGACAAATTCAACAAACTAACTAACAAAATAATGAAAAAAAAATGTATTTTTCAAAATTGAGAGAAAAAAAATGCATAAAAAAATTAAGGAATCAAAACCATGCAATCCTAAAATTAAGGAATCAAAATTGACATTTAACCTAAAATACTTTTCACCGGAAAATAAGCTGCTGGTGAAACTTAAGTGTCAAATCAGCCCCCTAAGCTTACAAATAGGAGCAAATAACTCCACATGGACAAAATTGTTAGTCTCTGTTAAATATATCTAACGTGGCAAAATTGTAGCAGCATTTATTCATAGAAAAAACTGACGTGGACTCCTTAAATCATACTTTCATACTTGGGGCTAAAAAAAATTAATAATAAAGAAAACTACTTGGCCATGTCAACTTTTCCATCCACTTTGGACAATTTTGTTGTTGCTGATAAGTTCAAAGGCTGATTTGGCACCAGAGTTTCATCAAGAGCTTGTTTTTCTGTGAAAAATAAATTTTTTGGGGCCTAATTTGCCTATTTTTTCTAAAACCAAATGCAATTTATTTATGCTCAATTTCATTAATATGCTGCAAAACATACCTTGTAAACAGGTCCAAAACCCCCTTGACCTAGCTTGTTGCTGAGCGAAAAATTATTAGTTGCATGTGATATTGTAGCTAGTTGAAATACTGGAAGCTCCATGTCTTCATCTTGGCCTTCATTCTTTATGTCATTTTCTTTCTTCTCTTTGATTCTCTCTGTAAGAGTAGTAGACATGTTGGTTAACGTTAACCATGGGAAGATCAGAAATGGAGAACTAAACTAGTTATGCTTTGGTCAAATGTATTCTGAGATTCAAAATCTTTCAGTTCATCATCAAGCAATTACATCTTGAAGATTGTCGAGCCACAAAGAATCTAATTGAAAAATGGAAAAAAAAAAATTCAAGATAAAACAAGTGCATTCACAAAACACTGATTGGATTTTGCTAGTAGTCATAACAGGAAGGAACAAAATGAACATATATTTGTTAAGGTGAAAAGTTTGAGATATTTACCTTCTGAGCTTCCCCTGTTTTTGCAGAAGTAATAGCATAAAATAAGTATCGCCAGAAGTGCAGCGAGTGGAGTTGCAGTTAATAGTGCTATCTTCAACTTAGTCTTATTTCTCTTCGATCCTTCATTGTCAATTTTGATAGAAAGAACAAATATAATTAAATCTTAGCTAAAGTGCATTATCACAAGCTGTAATAAGCAAAGTTCTTTGATCTTTATACTCCCGACTAGACTCAGCATCAATGAAATATTCAAGTTGTCTCATGAAGAGAGGTGAATGAAAAGGATGTTCATACCTGATTCCGAAGCAGACATCCTAATGAACAGATCCTGCTCATCAGATTGAAACTGTCTCATGTCAACTAGATCACCAAACCAAATGGCACAACCACTAGCTCTTCCACTTATATTCGCACTAGTATATGCCATACAAGAACAGTTTTGGGTGCATTTATCCTTGCATTCCTTGAGGCTCAAAGTTTTGTTTACCCATGAATGGGTAGCATTAGGCAGTTTCAAGCCTCTAAATTTTTTAAATACATCACCTGCCTGGCAGTTCAATGGCTTGTTTCTGACACATCCTTGAGACCAGTCCCCAGAGCTCCATCCATCTGGTGATTTAGGCTTGAATCCTGGAAAACATTGGCAAGCTGGAGATTGAGTACTGTCACAATTCCCATATGCACCACAAAGTCCATATTGGTCACAATAGTCGTTAGGTAATAATGTGAAAAGCTTCCATGTTCGAGTTTCTTCATCCCATGTGTATCTCCGCCTTGTGTTGTCAGTTTGGTTCAGAACAACCCTTGAGAGCAAAGACTTGTTTTTGAGGAAAAACATGTAGTATACCTCCTCTTCATTGGAGACAAATTCATCACCGAAAACTTGGTTTTCAGGACCTAAACTTGGGGCCCCACTAAACCTTATGCCATTCCAGGGGCCAAACCGGAACTGTATCTCTGAGCCTTTCAACAGCACAGCCTCAGGATTGCCCTGTCGTTCAATTTCCAAAGTAAAGTCACCAGGAGATGGATCATCAGAGTTCTTCCACGCTGAGAGACGCCGGTTAAGGCCAATTCTCAAGTCCCATCCTAGTTTCATCTCTGGTAGCAGTGTATCAGATGGATAATCAAAGCTTTGCCACAAGTAAACTTCCGAATCATCACTGCCATCTATCAAAACAAGATTGCCAGAATCCAGGAGCCGCAGTTTAGGATTCTGTGCTGGTTTTGTTGAGTTAGCTGACCAAACAACAGTTATGTTCTGACTCAGAAGCTGAACATCACCAGTGGTTGTCACCATCAGCATGCCAGAAGAGTCATTTATTGGATTCACCCTGTTTGCAACCCAAACAACGGTGCAGACTGGGATGTTCTTGTACCAAATTCCCAAGTACCGGTTCCCAGAACTGCCCGGATGGAAGAAACCCAACTCAAAGCTTCCATTATTGGAAATTAAAGTCTTTCCATCGGGGAGAGGCTCAGATGGAGAGATGGAGTCAATTGCCGTGGAGGTTTTCAGGAAGATTAGAAAACAAGTACTCACAAATGCTATCAAAGTAAAAACATCCATTGCATAACTAAAATTGAAGCTATCTCCTGGCAAGATCAATTTTGAACCTCCATGATTTGCGCACGTCTAAATCCCTGCACGGAAAACAAAAAAAAAAACGACTTGACAAGTGTGGGTACCGACATGCTATGGTAAAGAGACACGTAACGGATTAGAATTAGTGACTTGGCTTGACTTGTGAGGACTAAGTACTGGTGCGGCTAGAGAAGGACTTTATTAGAAAAGTTTTTGTTAATAAAGTAGTTAATAAAAGTACTGCAAAAAAAAAGTTGAAAAATTATATAATAAAATTTTGTTAAAATATTATTAAATTGTTAATTTATTTTACATTCAATAAGAAATAGATATAAAAAAAGTTAATAAAAAAGTTTTTAAATCATATATAAAGAAAATTGAGAGAAATTTTCTTCATTCAAAAAGTATGAAAAGAAAATTTTATAAATTAAAAATTATATTGATAAAAATAAAAATTAAAAGTATCACTTTTATTTTTTTTAATTATGATTTTAATATATAAAAATATAAAAATACTTTATAAAAGAAAAAAATTTTAAAAATTTTAAAGAAAAAGGTATCCCCAACCAATCATCCCCTAAATGGAGAGCGGTAGGTAGAAGCAACATGCTGCCTGGAAGTTGCATTTTCCAGTCAATTGCAAGCATTTATAGAATAACTGTAAAATGTTATAAGTCTGTCAGATATACCTATTTGCAAAAGTTTAGCAAAGAAAAGTCTTGCGCAGAGTTGCCGGTCATTGAAACATGTGGAGTTAAGCTGAAAATGTCACCAGCTCAGCTGCTCAAGTGGAGGGTCAATAGTTGACCCCCCAAAAAAGGCAAAGGATCAATAAAATCCGCCTCTTACCCTACACATTAATTCCACTTTCTGGAAAATTCAGGCTTTGTGGGGAGACCCTACTTTAAAGACGGTTCATTGTTTGTCTAGCAAATTCTTTTCATTTACATGGAATAATTAATGGTACAAACAACATGCAGACAAGAAAGTTTTGTCTTAATGAATCCACCATAATCAATAACAGTACAAATCTTAAGCATCAAATAGGATAGTATCATTGTCTTGTATGTAAACTATACAAGACAATGGATGAATCTATGAACAGTATTTCATTATGATATGCAGCATGAGGCATAAAAGTTCAACATTCCTCTATCGAGCATTGTCAAGCTTATAAGTTCATTGGTTGCAGATGTTTCCATCATACTTGATGAAGAACCTGTTTCTAATTATGTCTTTTGCATGAGGAAAACTGGGTTCTTTTGGTTAAGCCAACGCAATCTTACAACCCAGCATTAGAACCACGGATGACATGCTAGGTCTGTCATAAGGATGTTGTTCAACACACAACAGGCCTATTTGGATGCACCGGGTCACTTCTGATAGGGTGCATGACTCTTCCAAAAATGAATCATTCAGTTCCATAGGCTTTCCTTTTCTCCACAATCTCCGCGCCTAAGACAAATACATACTATAAAATTTTTGTCATTTCTTAGTTCAAAGTTTGTTCAAAAAGTAAGTCATGATACTTGCATCCAATCAAGTTAAGGTCGTGGTTTATATGATAAAACCCTCTATTTTTCTTCTCATTTATTATCTACAACAATAGTATACCCAAGCTAAAAACATCCAATTTCACTGAGAATTGCCCATCAATATCATATTCTAGTCCCATGTAATCACCATGGCAAATCATCCAAAGAAAATTATACACCTGAGGTTATTGGGGAGATCTAAGCATAGAAATAAGACTTGCTAGGTTGCAATGACTTTGTGCTTCCCTCAAAATTCTGGTCTCCTACAAAAGTTCTAGCCAAGCCAAAGTTTGAGATTTTGGGTTCATCTCTCTATCAAGTAGAACATTATTGGCTTTGAGATCTTTATAAATGATCCTTAATCTGGAATCTTGGTGTAGATAGAGAAGCCCCCTAGAAATTGCACAGATAATGTGAAAACTCTTGGACCAGGCTAATAGTTTTCTTCTTATTTAATTTGGCAAGTATGATATTCACATTAGTGCAGTTTCCTAAAATTGTGCATGCACGAACTAATTCTGATAAATTCATGCCACTCCTACAAAGTGTACATATTTGGTTTTTAATCTAAACAAAAATGGAGAAGTCCAAACTTTTGTTGGACAAGTATTCATAAATCAGCATTTTCTCCTCTCCTAGGAGGCAGCATCCCAGAAGCTTTACAAGATTCCAATGTGGAAGTTTGGCTATATGTGCAACGTCATTCTTGAACTCATTTAATCCTTGCCCTGAGCTTCTTCAAAGCCTCTTCACAGCAATTTCTTGTCCGATCCAAGCAAAGGGTCAATAAAAGTAATCCTCACATTCTACTTTGGTTCAAGAGTTAGATTTTGAGGGATATTAAACTAAAAATGAGAGATTGAGTGCAAAAACCACACTATATTTTTATCATGCAAAATACTTATGTACACACAAGGGTAGTTAAAAACTACCTCAACAGTTATCCAATACAAACAAACTTTGTAACAAACTGCTATAAGCTTAAAAACACAGAAAACAGTAATTAATTAGAAAATAAACTAATTCAAACTGCAACTTTGGTGGTATGCTTATCTGGAACAGTTCCAACAGATTTCTACATTTTGGGAAATTTTAAGAAGGTTTCATTTGTTTTTTTCTTAATAAATGAAAATGGTTACAAACCACATGTCAAAAGACAGCTTCTGGGTGGACACTAAATCCTTCCGTTGATGTCTGAGTAAGAACTTTAAGGGGTATGTTTCTGCATTGGAGTTTAGGGCCTAAGGTTTATTTAGTCTTGAAGTTGAAAAAAACATAAGGCACTAATTGCACCCAAGAACAATGTTCTGGGCATGACATACATCACCATATATAATCCTTTATCGAGCCTCCAAGATCGTGTGGGTGATTTCATTTACTGAGGTCGAGTCATGCTTACTTGTTGAAGAATCCATTTCAAGTGCAGTCTTTTCAAGCAAGAAACCAGGCTTTTTTGGCTGAGGCAATTTGATCTCACTTCCCAACATCATCACTACCGATTACATGGGAGGCCTGTCCTCAGGATTCTGTTGTAGACATAAAAGACTGATGTGGATGCATCTAACAACTTCTGATAGAGTGAAACACTCTCCCAAGGATTCAGCTGCAAGTTCTAGAGGATTGCCTTCTTTCCATAATTTCCATGCCTAGAAGATATTAAAGCCAGTTCATCATTTATGAGTTCAATATAAAAGAAAGTGAAAGAATGATTGATGATGCTTACATGTCCAATGAGGTTAAGGCTATGTTTTGGATGAAAAAATCCTCTATTTCTAATCCCACTTATTATCTCCAACAATAATACACCAAAACTAAAGACATCTGATTTTATTGAAAATAGCCCATCAATTGCATACTCTGGTGCCATATAACCACTGCAAAACAATGTTCAAAAGAGAATAAATTAATTGGCACTTACAGATAAAAATTTAACTATATAAGTACTAAAGTAATACTTAATATGTGCCAACAACTTTGTTTGTGCTCCCTTCAGTCTGGTCTCCTGCAAAAGTTTTGGCCATCCCAAAATCTGAAATTTTTGAGTTCATCTCATCATCAAGAAGAACATTACTAGCTTTGAGATCTCTATGAATAACCCGTAATCTAGAATCTTGATGAAGGTAGAGAAGCCCCCTTGCAATTCCACAGATAATCCCGAAACGCTTGGACCAATCTAATTCTTTCCCCCTTATTTGATCTGGAAAAAAATTTGCATTCATAACAATTTGGTAATCCTACTTCATCTAAAATGTGTGAAATAGGTGCAACATAGCTACATTAGTCCAAGATTGATACAAAATTTTCTAAAGGATTTCTAACCAAAAATGAATGAGTCTAGGCTTCTGTTAGGCATGTATTCATAAATCAGCATCTTCTCCTCCCCTTCAATGCAACACCCAAGAAGCCTAACAAGATTCCGGTGCTGAAGTTTGGCTATCAATTTAACCTCATTCTTGAACTCATTTACTCCTTGTGTAGAACTCAAGGAAAGCCTTTTCACAGCAATTTCTTGCCCATCTACTAATTTCCCCTAGAAAATTTAAAACGACCAAGTATTGGTAAAAACAAAGGAAAAATAGGCAAATTAACCGCATAAAATTATTTTCCACCGGCAAATAAGCCCGCTGATCAAACTTCAGTATTAAATCAGCCACCTAAACTTACAAATAGGAGCAAATAACTCCAAATGGGGACAAAGCCTTTATTCTCTGTTAAAAATCTGATGTGGCGAAATTACATCGGCATTTATTCATAGAAACAACTGGCGTGGACTCCTTAAATCATACTTTCATACTTAGGACTAAAAAAATTAAAGAAAACTACTTGGCCATGTCAACTTTTCCATCCACTTTGGACTTATTTACTGTTGTTCATAAGTTCAAAGGCTGATTTGCCACCAAAGTTTCAGTAAAGAGCTTATTTTTTTCTAAAAACAAATGGAATTTACTTATGCTCAATTTCATTAATATGCTGCAAAACATACCTTGTAAACAGGTCCAAAACCCCCTTGACCCAGCTTGTTGCTGAGTGAAAAATTATCAGTTGCATGTGATATTGTAGCTACTTGAAATACTGGAAGCTCCATATCTTCATCTTGGCCTTCATTCTTTATGTCATTTTCTTTCTTCTCTTCGATTCTCTCTGTAACAGTAGTAGACATGAAGCTTATGGAGAACTAAACTAGTTATGCTTTGATCAAATGTATATTGAGATTCAAAATCATTCTGTTCATCATCAAGCAATTACACCTTGAAGATTATGGAGCCACAAAGAATCTAACTGAAAAATGAAAAAAAAAAAAAAAAAGCAAGCCAAAACAAGTGCATTCACAAAACACTGATTGGATTTTGCCAATAGTCAAAGCAGGCAGGAACAAAATGGACATATATTTGTTAAGGTGAAAAGTTTGACATATTTACCTTCTGAGCTTCCCCTGCTTTGGCAGAAGTAATAGAATAAAATAAGCATCGCCAGAAGTGCAGCGAGTGGAATTGCAATTAATAGTGCTAACTTCAACTTAGTCTCATTTCTCTTCGATCCTTCATTGCCAATTTTGATAGAAAGAACAAATATAATTAAATCTTAGCTAAAGTACATTATCACAAGCTGTAATAAGCATAGAACTTTGATCTTTCTACTTCCAACTAGACTCGGCATCAATGAAACATTCAAGTTGTCTCATGAAGAGAGGTGAATGAAAGGGATCTTCATACCTAATTCCGAAGCAGACATCCTAATGAACAGATCCTGCCCACCAGATTGAAACTGTCTAATGTCAACAAGATCACCAAACCAAATGGCACAGCCACTACCTCTTCCTCTTATATCCTCACTAGTATATGCCATACAGGAACAGTTCTGGAGGCATTTATCCCTGCATTCCTCGAGGCTCATAATTTTGTTTACCCATGAATGGGTAGCATCAGGCAGTTTCAACCTTCCAAATTGGATAAATCCATCGGCTGCCTGGCAGTTCAATGGCTTGTTTCTGACACATCCTTGAGACCAGTCCCCAGAGCTCCATCCATCTGGTGATTTAGGCTTGAATCCTTTAAAACATTGGCAAGCTGGAAGTTGAGTACTGTCACAATTCCCATATGCACTACAAAGTCCATATTTGTCACAATACTCGTCAGGAAGGTATAGCCAAAGCTTCCACGTTCGAGTTTCTTCACTCCATGTGTATCTCTGTATTGCGTAGTCAGTTTGGTTCAGAACAATCCTTGAGAGCAGAGACTTGTTTTTGAGGGAAAACATGTAGTAGACCTCCTCTTCATTGGAGACAAATTCATAACTGAAAATTTGGTTCTCAGGACTTAAAATTGGGACACCACTAAAACTTATGCCATTCCAGGGGCCATACCGGAAATATTTCTTTGAGCCTTTCCTGAGCACCCACTCAGGATTACCTTGTAGTTCAATTTCGCAAGTAAAGTCACCAGGAGACGGATCATCAGAGTTCTTCCACGCTGACAGACGCCGGTTGAGGCCAGTTCTCAAGTTCCACCCTAGCTTCATCTCCGGTAGCAGTGTATCAGACGGATAATCAAAGCTTTGCCACAAGGAAGCTTCCGAATTTCCATTCCTGCCATCTATCAAAACAAGATTGCCAGAATTCAGGAGCCGCAGTATAGGATTCTGAGCTGCTTTTGTTGAGTTAGCTGACCAAACAACGGTTATGTTCTGACTCAGAAGCTGAAGATCACCAGTGGCTGTTACAATCAGCATGCCAGAAGAGTCATTTATTGGATTCACCCTGTTTGCAACCCAAACAACTGTGCAGACTGGGATGTTCTTGTACCAAATTCCCAAGTACCGGTTCCCAGAACTGCCTGGACTGAAGAATCCCAACTCAAAGCTTCTATCATTGGAAATTAAGGTCTTTCCATCAGGGAGAGGCTCAGATGGAGAAATGGAATCAATTGCCGTAGAGGCTTTCAAGAAGATTAGAAAACAAGTACTCACAAATGCTATCAAAGTAAAAACATCCATTGCATACCTAAAATTGAAGCTACCTCCTGGCAAGATCAATACTGAGCTTCCATGATTAGAGCATGTGTAAATGCCTGCATAGGAAAGTAAAAATGACTAGACTTGTGTGGGTACCAACATACTAGTGAAGCGACAAGTGATGGATTAGAATAATTGAGTTAACTTCACTTGCATGGACTAAGGACTTGTTTGGTCAGAGAGTCCAGTTTTTAGGTTAAGAAAGCAATGTATAGAAAGTTGATAAATTTTGTAGTAAAATTTTTTTAAAATTTTATTTGATTGTTAATTTTTTTAGATTTAGTAAAAAATTAATATTAAAAAATTAATAAAAAAGTTGTTAAGTGAGTATAAGAAGAAAAGTTTATAAATGAGTAATTGCATTAAAAAATAAAAATTAAAAATATCACTTTTATTTTTTTTCCATTATACTATTAATATATAAAAATATATAAAAAACTTTATAAAAAATAAAAAAATCTTTATAAAAGGGTTATTGCCAACTATTCGTCCCTTTACTATAAAAAATAATTCGATTTAAATTCTTCTACTTTCAATTCACCTCATATCCTCTCTCTACTATTAATTAATTACTCATGTCCTCTCCTACTTTTGAAAAAGGTATCAATGTCATCCCTCTGTCCAAGCTCCATCCAATTTTAACTGTTAACGTTAACCCATCAGCCATCACACATCCAACCCCTTTTTATTTTTTTTACAGTTGGACTTCGGTGGACCCATTAGCGCCACATCAGATGTAGCCTTTAAAATCGGTCGCTGGCACTGTGCAAGCATCAAAAACCCCGAATTTCCTTCTTCTCTTCAAACTCTTACAAATTCCACGTAATCGATTTTGATATCGGCAAAGGATTGCAGTACAAAAATCTTCTTTACACACTCTCCAAGCGCCAGAGCAGAAAGCCGACAATGGTGAAAATCACCGTCGTCGTTGATAATGGTGGTGATGAACAGGTGAGATAAGTGGGTGAGGAGTTGAGTCAACTTGGTGAGAGAATTGGGGTTTCCTTGAAGCTCAAGGTCTTGGTGTGTCCGAAACTCAGTGATCCATCTCGCGAGTCACTCAGTTGCAAACCGGACGAGACACTTGCTGTGAATTTCACATTCAAGTTGTACCGAATGTTGGACGAGAGCACGTCAATTGAAAATCCCAGAGACAAGCTTCTCCGGCTAGTGAAAGGCCTAGCCCGGCGGGTAGTCACATTGGTAGAGCAAGAAATGAACACTAACGCCGTGCCGTTCGCAGCACAGGTGGGCGAAGCAACGGCATACTAGGCCGCGCTGCTCCAGTCAATCGAGTCTATCGTTGCGAGAGAACAATCGGAGAGAGCAAAAGTAGAGGAGGCAGTGAGTTGCACAATCGCGAACTCGGTTGCGTGTGAGGGTAGGGACTAGGGAGTCTAGGGACCGCGTTGAAAGATGCGAGGTGTTCAGGAAGTGGCGGGCCTGGATGGGCATGGCTGGGTTAAAGTTAAAGCCATTGCGTCAAACGGTGGCCAAGTCAATGCGAGGCGGACTCAGCTTCGGCAACCGTGTCAATCCAGGTTTCACTGTCAAAGGATGGGACGGCCACTCATCGTCGCATCTCCGGGCACTAACTTCGCTCTTACTCTCAAAATTTTGTCATTAATTAATTGCTACATTTTGTTCTGTAAGGTTTTTATAAAATTAGAAAGGGCAAGCAAGAAAAAGGGAAAACCCCACCCAACCAAATAATAATTTTTTTTTTTATCATGTGCCTTTTAAGATTTAAATTAAAAGTATTTTTATTATTAATATATAAAAAAATAAAAATTAATAATAATTTTAATGTTAGTGTCAAGTAGATAAATTTAATTAGATAATTGATAAATTAAAATTTAATTTTTTTTATATAAATTTATAATAAAAAATATATTTAATATATTTTTATTTTATACCTTTAAAACATAGATTAAATAATTTCATAATAAAAAGTGGTGTTTGGATTCTAAGAAAATTCCGTGGTGATCTATTATCTCATTTGTGGATAGCTCCATTTTCATATTCGGCAATGCTAAAAAGTATGATGCTTTTTTTTATATAATTTTTTAAACAATATCAAGCACTAATTATTGTATATATTAAAATTCAAAAATTAATATGTACCAATTTTAATATACTTTCAAAGTTGCACCCGAGCTCACGATCCAACTATCATAAGCTGAATTGGAGGTGCATCTCCTACCTCGAAAATTGAGTTTCGATTCCCCTTTCTCTCATTGTAAACATGTTCAGAAAAAAACTATATACATACTTTCAAAGCCTTTCCTCAAAAGCAGTAACTTTCTTTTCCAATTTAATTATAATAAAAAATTTTCAACACAAAGCTTCCTATCCAGATCTAAATTCTCTTTTTTCACCTCAAAAACCTCATTCATGAATGTTTTCTCTTTCTCTAACATTTTTTTCTTCTTCTCCCATCATCGTGTTAACCAAAGTCCAATTGTTAAAAAATAAAAAAATAAAAAAAT